ATTGGTGCAGAAACACATTGGCAAATAAGGTTGTAGATGTAGTGGCTCCCTAGCGAAAAAACAGGTTGCTTACCTGTAACTGATGATCTTCGAGTGGTCATCTGTGCATTCACACCTCTGGGCTATAGTGTGCCTGCACCGACCCCGATCAGTATTTTGGAAAGCAAAAGGGATTTTTTGCGCCCGCTCCCCAGTCACGTGTCGGGCTCCACTGCGCATGACTAAGGGGAGGGGGCACGAGGATCCCGCCAGTTCCTTCTGACCACTGACCACAGTCTCCAAAGAAAGGACAGGACCGAAAGCAGAGGGGAAGGAGGGCGGGTGGTGTGAATGCACAGATGACCACTTGAAGATCATCACTTACAGGTAAGCAACCTGTTTATCTTCTTCGTGGTCTCTGCGCATCTGGGAGACTAGCAAGCAGTACACACCTACCTGGAGGAGGGAGCTGAGGTCCTAATTCTGCACCGCTTGCAACACTGCCCGACCTACTGCTGAACGCAGCACTACACCAGGAACTCATTAGCATAATAGGCCACACCCAACAGCAGGAACTCATTAGCATATTAGGCCGCACAGCTCATTAGCCCATTAGGCCGCACCCCCATGTTACCAGAAGTGTGCTCATCCAGCCACACCCACCTTTTGCTTGTTTTTCTGTTTACCTTGTTTGTTGTCAAAACCCAAGGCCTTTTTTTGTAGCAGGAACTCCTTTGCATGTTAGGCCACACACCCCTAATGTAGCCAATCCTAATGAGTTTCTGCTGTTGGGTGTGGCCTATTATGCTAATGAGTTCCTGCTGGGCGTGGCCAACTCAGGAGCCAGCCAGAACTCCATTCCTGCGCGTTCCTGCCCAAAAATAGCCCTGCTTAGCACTATTGTCAGTGAAATCCATTTGTACATAGTATTTGCTGCATTTACATTGTGTTGCTAGAGGCCGATAGAACCTGTGATTAATTTTTCAAAATAAAAGTTTTAAAAGGTGAGTGTAACTGCAAATAGCAAAGTGGAAGGGTGCTTGGTCCAAAAGACAGGAAGTGGGGAGAGAGGCAGGGACAGCAAAGGCCACAGAGATGGGAAGACAACAACAACAACAAGAGGAGGGGACAGAGTAGGGCTCCGAAATAATTACCTGTCACACAGAATGTCACTAAATGGACGTTGTCCTGCAAGCGGTCAAATGCTCCTAGGAACAAGTGCAGGAACAAATGTGAAACTTACACAGAGTTATACATGATTAATACGAAAGACAAGGTGGATGGAATTGTTCACATGCTCCTGGTTAAATACAAAGGTTATAGCTACTGCAGATGAAATTTAGATCTTCCAGCCAAGGCCTCTGAGCAACACTACAGGGCTAGAATTGTCCCAGAATACTGGCGGGATGCCACATTCCTCCCCATAGCACAATCTTTTCCACAGAGCCCCCCCTCTGCTACTAAAAACTAGTGTAAGAATGTACAACAGGAATGAACACATCACCTTCCCCTGTTGATTCCTGTTTCCACTTTCCTTTGTTCTCTCATGTCACGTATTTAGACTGAAAACTTCTCAAGGTGGAAAAGCTGGTCTTGTTCTTTGTAAAAGTGCCCTGCTCATTTAACTTCCTGCTATTATCTTGCGGTGCCTCAAGTGGTTAAGACGCTGAACTGCAGGCTGTGGAAGGTCGGTAGTTCAGCAGTTCAAGACCCGGGGTGCCGCATGACGGAGTGAGCTCCCGCCTCTAGTTCCAGCTCCTGCCAACCTAGCAGTTCGAAAGCAAGAAATTGCAAGTAGATAAATAGGTACCACTTCGGTGGGAAGGTAACAGCGTTCCGTGTGCCTTGGTGTTTAGTCATGCCGGCCACATGACCACGGAAACGTCTTCGGACAGCGCTGGCTCTTCGTCTTTGAAACGGAGATGAGCACCGCAACCCTAGAGTCGGATTCGACTGGCTTTCGAGCAAGGGAACCTTTACCTATTACCTATTATCTTGTAGGGTAAGAGAAGGGGCTGTGTTCAATGGCCAAGTACACAGTTTTCATGCACAAGGTCCCCCCAAATCAATCCCAGGCATCACCAGTTACAGGATGTCAGGCAGAAATTGTACGGAAAACTGATAGTTACAGAATTCCCCTTTTCTTGGTGTGAAATATTTTGACATCTTATTTCTAAATTCCATGGTCCCCAGATTTCTCCAGTTCTACACTCAGACCCCAAACAAGAGCCCTAAAACTTAACAGAGGAAGCAGAAGGGAATGCATGGACTTACGAAGAAGTTGATTGGTTAGTTTTTGGGATAAGTGTCGATCATCACTGAAGCCGCCAACTAGATGCAATTCCAACCTAACCAGCCAAAAGAAGAAATTATGAATACTTACATCTTAAAGGAAAGGGATAACAGCTCTGTAGCAGAGCCCATTGGCATTCAAAAGGTCCCACAACTAATCCCTGCCATCGACAGACCACATCTGAATCCACACTTTATTGTATCCTTGTGTTTAATTCGTACATCAGCCAACTAAAGGATTTGTCAATTCAATCAACAGGCTTTGATTCCTGCATATTCATTTTGCTTACAGGGGCTGTTTCAATCTGACATTGCACAACATCAAGCTCAAAGAGGAGGGCAAAGAAGAAGCCAGTTTGGTGTCGTGGTTAAGTGCGCGGCCTCTAATCTGGGAGAACCGGGCTTGATTCCCCACTCCTCCACTTGCACCTGCTGATGTGACCTTGGGTCAGTCACAAGCTCTGGCACAGCTGTCCTTGAAAAAGAGCAGTTTGTGTCAGAGTTCTCTCAGCCCCACCCACCTCACAGGGTGTCTGTTGTGGGGAGGGGAAGGGAAAGGAGTTTGTAAGCCGCTCTGAGACTCCAAGTGAAGGGCGGGGTATAAATCCAATCTCTTCTTCTTCCCTCCATTGCAAGGATGTTTCCACCAAGGGAATAGCCTCTTGCATCAGAGAAAGGCGCCACTGTTTGCACAACAGATTTGCAGGATCCAACCCATGGGGTTTAATTTTAATCACCAGGCACACTCAAGTTATTTCTTGAGGCCAATTTGAGTCCAAAGCCTTACTGCAACAGCTGTCTTTCCAATAATATACTAGTGTTTATTAAATTGCAAGACCACTGTAGCTTAAAATTTTGGAAATACCCAAATTAATTTCTCTTCACTACTGAAAAGAACAACTTAATTAGCTTTTCTATGGATTACCACTTGATAGCTCTGAATAAAAATACACGTTTAAAATTTAAAAAACTGACCTTCCATGTTCTGTACTAGGAGAGAGCACTCTGACCGCATTGGTAATCGATACGACTTCTTTGTC